GGAGGGCCCTCGCCGCAGAACCAGCCATGAGTGGTAGGAAGGAGGGGAGAGTCTGAGGCTACAGTGGGGAGAGGTGGGGAGTTAGGACTAAGCTGCCTCTCCCTCAGGAAGGGAGGGCCCTGGAGGACACAGAAGCCCAGGCAGCGAGTACTCAGTAAGCTTATGTCTCAGGGGACAGACAATTTCAGATTAAGGAGAGAGCCAGGCAGCTGGGTTTGAGGCTGGGAGTAGGACTGTATTTTCAGGAGAGTTCCTCCCTGAGTTCCCAAGCTTTTATACAACTATTTACTCCATTCCATCCCTCCCTCCCTCCCTTTTATTTAGTGGTCACTTCCTCCCCTGGCTGTCCCTCTAACCCTCTGCAGGCCCCTCTCTCCCCTCCTCCCCCACCAAGGCCCCTGCACTCTCTCCCTGGGAGGGCCTTCCTCCCAATAACTGGAGTAGGAAAACATACGTGAAGAAAGGAACTCTGCCTACTGTTCAGGAATGCATCCTAAGGCAATAAAATTGTAAGAAAATGCAAATAAAATAAAATAAAAAGACAAAAGCCTGTAAAAATCAGCAGAGTGGCTATCTTCAGGGAGGAAGAAGAGGATTAAGTTCCAAAAGAACAAAAGCCTGTAAAAATCAGCAGAGTGGCTATCTTCATGGAGGAAGAAGAGGAAGGATTAAGTTCCAAAAGGGCAACTTGGCGGGAACTCTTGGAGCTGGGAGGGCTCCTCTCCCTGAGCTGGGGGTGGTTGCATGGTGGCTCTCTGGGTAATATCTCACTAACCTGAACATTTATATCTTATGCACCTTTCTGTAGCTGTGATATTTTCACAGTAAAAATGATTAAAAAGACATCTGACTGTGCAGAAGGTCAGATGAGGTAAATGATATCAGAGAAAACAATAAATGCTTTGGGATTCGAAGGTGGGGGAGATGGCAGCACTCTAGCAATGCCCTCGTCTAGGGTGAGGGGTCTTCCAAGCCCAGGCAGAACAGAGGCCAGTGGCTCTGTATGGCTGGACAATGGTTCCCGGGCCTTAGCCTTAGGAACCCTTGCCCATGTGGTCGCCACAGCCAGGTGCACCCAGGCCCCAGGCCCTGCAATGATGAGCAGCCACAGGGCGACATACCAAGGATCTGGGGAACCTCCTCAGGGCTCCTCTCCACCCCTAGACACCCTCCTGTATGCCTCTACTGGGCCTTATCCCAGTTGCAGACGGACCCTCTCCCACCCCAGCTGGGCTTGGAATTGGCTCCAAGTTCTCCTGTTGATAGACCAGGAGCTCTCAGGCCTGACACTCAGCCTCCCTGTCTGCTCCCACCTGGTTCATGCATCTATCTGAGCCTCAACCTGGGGCCCTGCCCAGTGGCTGAGCCGTGTTCATGCCCAGTCAGTCCTATGCCCTGGGGCTGATTCTTGTCCTCCCCTGATGGCTTGGTGTTGTGTTTCTTAAATTCCACTCAAGTCAAAGGACAGGAAGTTACCCCAGGTAGAAACTGCTAGAAAGGCAGAGAGGAGAAAGAGTGAGCTTACCAAGGGAGTGAGCGCGAAGGGGAAGGTTGGGTGGTACTGGAGCCATGGAACAGGCTCCTCAAAGCCTCTTGCCCTCTCCAATCCTTTCTACCCACTCTAGCTGGACTGTTCAGCCTCTGGGGAGGCTTGTGTTTCCAGAGAACGAAACGGTTGTGAAGCTTGGGCAGCAAAAGTCCTCTGAGATGCAAACCCCAAGTTTCCAGGGGACTTCAGGGTACGGCAGGGCTGAGTGTCAAACAGCCTGGCAGAGGATGTGTTTTCCTGACCTTGAAACCACTTTGCCATGAAAAATGCCTCCACCGCCGCCTATTTGATTTTTTTAAAAAAATTAATCCTACTGGAAGATATTTTTCCATTGATTTTTATTTTTTATTTTTAATCCTCACCTGAGGATATTTTCCCACTGATTTTGGGAGAGTGGAAGAAAAAGGGAAAGACAGAGAAATACCAATGTGAGAGAGACACATCGATTGGTTGCCTCCTGCCTGCTCCCCAACCAGGGCCGGGGGGTGGGAGAGGAGCTTGCAACTGAGGGACGCGCCCTTGACCAGAATCGAACCTGGGACCTCTTGGTCTGCAGGCTGATGCTCTATCCACTGAGCCAAACTGGCTAGGGCCCTATTTGATTCTGAAACACCCTAAAAGAATTGCCCACATTGGCGCATTGCGTAAAGTCTGTAGCATTCACTGCCGAATCTCCCTGTCTAGGGAGGAGCACGAATGCATAGGGAGTGCTGGGTACATCTCTCACCAGGTACAATTTCACCAAACACTGGTTCAGTTCTCTCCACACTGGAAATTCTCAGCATGGGCGTGACGCCCAGTGTAACAACAAATAAAACAGATGTGTTTCTCCATTCCCATTGGGCAGGAAGTTTCATATTAAGCAGTTCAGTAATTGTACGAGACTTGTCATGGATGTGCTGAAATATCCCTATAGGTTAATTGACGTTGGGGAAACTTGTCTGTCTGGAGGGAAATAAATGCCTGAACACTGAAGTATCAGAATGAGTACTTCTAATCTGTCACTAGGAAGTTTCATATGAAGAAGCTCGAGAAAACAGAAGCAGACATGCTGACCACAGCTCTCCTACTATCTCTCTCCTACCCAGAGATAGGGTGCTCACCAACTGGGTACAGTCTATTCAGGGACCATTCCTAATGCCATTAGGATACTAGAGTGGCCTTCCCAGGAAGAAACACTTAACAACAGAGGTGGGGAAACTTTTATCTGCCAAAGGCCATTTGGATATTTATAACATCATTCAAGGGCATACAAATTTATCAACTAAAAAATGAGCCTGCTGTGTTTGGTCAAACATTTAATTAACTCACCCCTAATGCCTTGGAAGGGTCAGACCACGTGATTCCACAGGCCTTGGAGAGGCGGGCTCTGGCCAGCAACCCTGTAGCGGTGGTCATCCCTAGAGGCGCTGGCAGGGGCCAGGGCATTAGGGGGGCGCTAGGGGGCGGCAAAGCTGAAGGAGGAGTAACTGTCAAACCTTCCCACTTGGCGCCATTCTTTAAATTGTACGTGGCTGTTTGGCAGCTGTACCTGCTCAGGGCAGGGCTCCAATCTCCTGGAGCGGGGTGGGGGCTGGGCCAGGGTGGGGCCAGGTGGGCTAGGAGTGCTGGTTTAGCCACACCCCCAGCGAGGTTCAGGGCACTTCCAATGCGGAGACGGTGCTGCTGCTGTGGGGGGAAAGGTCTGACCCTGGGGGGCCGCTCAGGCCTGCCTCCACCCGGGTCTGGAGTTGTAGGGAAGAGAGGCATGCCTGGCCTCAGCGGAGGGGGCCGGCAGTGGTGGGCCGCGGGCCCCGGGTGCCTCGGGGCGCTGATGGCTCCAGGGGCACCGACGGTGTGCTATTGTTGTGAGTGCCCCTGGCGGGGATGGCAGGGGAAGAGATCGGGAGTTGGAGGTGCGGGCTATGGCTACCCCTGAGGCTGGGTCTTCTCCCTGTCCGGTAAACCTCCCCGTCCTCCCGGGGGTGCGGGGGCTGGGGTAGGGTGTCTGTACAGGGGGATTGGAAGAGCTCCCCATGGCCACTTCCTCTTCCTTCTTTGCAGTCCAGGCTCCTGTCAGGCGCTCTCCTCAGACCCCTGGGAACTTGGCTCCAGCCGCCCACCCCCTGCTGCGCCCACATCAATATGCAAATTGGTCATTACTGGGACACTGTAACAGTCAATTAGCATATTACCTCTTTATATGTATAGATTCTTAACTTTCTATCGTCAATGTCTTATAATTTTCAGAGTACAGGTCATTTACCTCCTTGGTTAGATTTATACTTAAGGTATTTTATTCTTGTGAAGGCAATTGTAAATGGGATGGTTTTACTAATTTCTCATTCTGATAGTTCATTATTGGTGTATAAAAATTAAACTGGTTTCTGAATATTAATTTTGTATTCTGTCACTTTATTGAATTCATTTAGTTTGAATAGTATTTTGTGTGTATGTTTAATCTTTAGGGTTTTCTCTATGTAGTATCATGTCATATGCAAGTAATGACTGTTTCACTTCTTCCTTTTGATTCTGGATGCCTTTTATTTCTTTTTCTTGTCTAATTGCTGTGGCTAGGAATTCCAATACTATGTTCAATAAAAGTAGAGAAAGTGAACATCCTGATCTTAAAGAGAAAGCTTTCAGCTTTTAACTGTGGAATATAATGTTAGCTGTGGGTTTGTCATATATGGCCTTTATTATGTTGAGGTATATTCCATTTATCCCCACATTACTAAAAGTTTTAATCATAAATGGATGTTGGATTTTGTCATGTGCTTTTTCTGTCTCTGTTGATATAGTCATATGATTTGTATTTTTCATTTTGTTTATGGGTTGTATCACATTAATTGATTTGCAGAATTTGAACCAACCTTGCATCCTGGGAATAAATCCCACTTGATCATCGTATATAATCTTCCTTTGTATTTTTGTTGTGTCAGTTGTCACTGCTCCTTTTTCATTTCTAATTGTATTTTATTCAGTCCTTCTCCTTTATTCTTGGAGTATCGCTAGAGGTTTATCAATTTTATTTTTTCAATGAACCAGCTCTTTGGTTTCATTGATATTTTCTATTGTTCTATTGGACTAATTTCATTTATTTCCACTCTCACCTTTTTTTATTTCCTTCCTTCAACTCATCTTCTCAGAACCCCCGGAACCGCTGCAAACCTCGGAGGGAAAGCTGCCTTCCAACTGATGCCAGACACTCCCGCTTCTCCCGTTTGGGTCCGAGTCCCCAGCGATTCGCCCGTATCTGGAGCTCAGAGTCTGAGACTCCCCCCTGACCGAAAACGACAACCGCGCTCTCAGCCACCAGCCCGCTTTGCGCGCGCACCTCCGCACCTGAGTATTTTCCACACTGCGCCTCCTCTGAGCCTCGGTGTGCTGTTATTTTTCCTTCTAGTTGAAGAGTCTCTCCTCAGCCAGCCTTCCTGCGGTTCTGGGTGATGTCCGTTCCGTCTTTTAGTTGTATTTTTGAAGTGGTTGTTTGCGGCAGCAGTCTGCGGTGTTTACCTATGCCGCCATCTTGGTCTCTCTCAATTTTATTTTTTCAATGAACCAGCTCTTTGGTTTCATTGATATTTTCTATTGTTCTATTGGACTAATTTCATTTATTTCCACTCTCACCTTTTTTTATTTCCTTCCTTCAACTCATTTTGGGCATTATTTTTCTTTTCTCTAGTTCCTTTAGCTAAAAGGATAGATTGTTTGAGATTTTTCTTGTTTCTTGAAATAGGCCTATATTGCTATGAATTTCCCTCTTAGAATTGCTCTGGTTGTGTCCCACAGATTTTTAGGATGTTAGGTTTTCATTTGTTTCAACGTATCTTTTGATTTCTTCCTTCATTTCATTGGTAACCCATTCATTGTTTAGTATCATGTTATTTAACCTCTATGTGTTTGTGTGTTTTTCAGTTTTCTTTTTATAATTGATTTTAGATTAATGCCACTGTGATCAGAAAAAATACTTGTTATGATTTCAATCTTCTTAAATTTATTGAAATTTGATTTATGGCCTAATGTGACCTATCCTGAAAAATGTCCCACCACATACACTTGAAAATAATGTATATTTTGCTGCTCTGAGGAGAAATGTTCTAGAAAAATCAATTAAATCCATCTGATCTGATGTGTCATTTAAGGCCACTCTTTCCTTGTTGATTTTTCTGTCTGGATGTTCTATCCATTACTATATTATATTATTATTGATCTCTCTCTGTATGCCTAATTTCTGTATAACTCATAGATTTACACATGATCTTCCTACTTTCCCTTTTAACTTTTGTACTAGCTTTATAGTTGGTGATCCACCACTTTTATTTAGTATGTTTGTTTTTATCAGTGAGAATTTTTTCTTTCCTGTATTTTCTTATTTATGTTTTTGATTATTTTTTCTCTTCTTAAAGAAGTCCCTTTAACATTTCTTGTAAAATTTGTTTTAATACTGGTTTAGTGGTGATGAACTCTTTTAGCTTTTCCTTGACTGGAAAACTCTTATTTCTCCTTTGATTCTAAATGATAGCCTTACTGGGTAGAGCATTCTTGGTTGTATGTCTTTGCCTTTTGTAACTATTTCTTGCCATTCCTTTCGGCCTGCAAAGTTTCTGTTGAGAAATCAGCTGACAGTCTTATGGGAGTTCCCTTTTATGTAATTAACTGCTTTTCTCTTGCTATTTTTAGGATGCAATCTTTGACTATAACCTTTGGCATTTTAATTATGATGTGTCTTGGTGTGGACCTCTTTGGGGTCATCTTATTTGGGACTCTCTGCACTTCTTTGATTTGTATGTCTATTTCCTTTGCCAGGTTAGGGAATTTTTTAGTTCTTTGTTCTCTCTCTTGCCCTTCTGGTACCCTTGTGATCCAAATGTTTGCTTGATGTACCTCAGGTCCCCTGTATGCTTGATGTTGTCCCTCAGGTCCCTTAAACTATCCTAATTTTTTTTTAAATTCTTTTTCTTTTTGGTACTAAATGGGTGTTTTCTGCTGCTTCGTCTCACAGATCACTTATTCAATCCTCTTCTTCATCTAATCTGTTGTTGATTGCTTCTAATGTATATTTTATTTCAGTTATTTTATTCTTAATTTCCAACTGGTTCTTTTTTATGTTTTCTATGTCTTTATTAAAGACCTCACTGAGTTAATCTATTTTTTTTCCCTAAGATCATTGAGCATCCTTATAACCACTGTTTTAAAGTCTGCATCTGGTAGATTGCTTGTGTCCTGTGGGGCCCAGAAGTGCAGTCTGTCTGCCTGGTTACCTGAGCTGCTCCAGTGGAGTTCCTTGTGTGTTTTGTATGTGCCCTCCTGTTGTAGGTGATCCATGATTGCTGTTGGCACATTCGTCAGTAGGACTGGCCCTCAGGCTGACTAGTTGTGAGAGCTGGTTGTGACTATTGCAGATGAGCTGTTGTGCTGGGACTGACCCACAGAGCAAGAGTCACTTTAGGGCTTTGATGCAGCCAAGCCTGCCAATTGGGTGTGTCGTTTGTCGAGCTGGTTGGGTGGTGTTCTGGGGTGGTCTGAAGCCACCCACCAATTGTGTTGGTTTTGGGGGTCCTTAGGAGGGGAACCACTTGCAGGTCAAGGTCAGCCTCTGGTTGAACCTGCCACCCCTCTATCTAATCTCCAAACAAAAATCCTACCTGATCCTTATGGTTTAGCCCCACTACCACCATGTCTATCAAACCATCCTCCACCCCAGAGAACAGTGAGCACCACCCCCTCAGTTCTCACAACTTGTTAATTTTATCTCTTTCATGGCAATTATCACCATTGTCCTTTTGTTCTGGTGACTGGGTACATCTCTTTTCTCCCCTGAGTGGCCTCAAGTACCTTGAGGTCAGGATAGCCTACCTCTCTTGGCATGAGGGTCTCAGGCCCACTGGACAGTCAGTGAAGGACCACTCCTATGTGAAGGTTTGGGTGGAAGAATTCAGAGCAGAGGCAACAATGGGGAGAGAAAATACACAATCCCTACTTGTTAACTTGCCTTTCAACACCCAGGAAAGTCAAGCAAAAGGGCCCACTTATGGCATTCTTAATATTCCAAATTGACATAAACAGAAAACTATCTTCAACACAGCATTGAATAGTCCCCTCCTCCCCCATCGAAGCACTGATGATAGTGCTGGTAAACCTTGGTAGTGCTGGTAAAATGAAATATTTCAGTCAGTAAGTTTCAGGAAATAAACATCCGTACTAAGAAGAACTCCTACATGCACAAATGCACACATAGCTCCAAGCGCCAGCACAGAAGGGCTAATGGAGCATTTTGTTATTTGTGCCTTTTGTGTGTTTTTTTGTTTTTTTTAAAAAACTCTTACACTTTCAATCCAAACCCGACAAATCATCCTTGGACAGTTTGGAGTAGGCACAGGGCAGGAAAGGCAATTATGCTCAGAGCAGAGCTGCCAGCAATGACTCCCGCAGCTTCCCCTGCCTGACCTGGGATACAGCAATTTGGCAGGTCAGTACCCTGTCCAGGGACCGAAGAACCTGGAAACTGGGCACAGGGCAGTTTCTGCAGCAGCACCTCTGCTCCGTACTGTGTCTGCTTGGGCCCTTATCCCTGTGATCCCATGCATGAGAGTTCAGATTTTTTCTTCCCATGGCCATGTGATTAGCAGCTCACAAAGGATTTCCAGGACTGGGCAGCTGTGCCCTGTCACACCTTCTAAAAATGGTAGAGAAGACTTCTGAAAAGAAACTCGTCCTTCTGTTCTCAACCACGAGCCTTGCCCTGTGTCCCCAACACTCATGTACAGGAAGAGGGTCTCATCATCTTGTCACAAACCCAGGAAAAGAGCAAAGTACCTTCTGGCCGAGGTTTTGGCTTTTCCAACCCTCCATCTTGCATGAGCTCAAAGGCAAAGGAGACGTTTAAGACCTGGAAAGAGAAATGCAGTGCCTATGTTATTGCACACTCATTCCTGGGCCCTTGTGGATCCTGGGATCTGCCCCTGGGAAGTGATGGAGCTAGAGGGACAGAGGCTGAGCTAAAATGTCCTAATTTGAAGGAGAAGTGAGGTTACCAAAATGGGCAGGCCATGTGGAGTGTGGGCTGGCCTATCCCAGCCTACTCTTCGTGAGTACTGCTGGAGACGTTCAAAATCCTTGTTTTGTTCTACTGTGTTCCTGTGTTAACTACCAGGATTTTCAACTCAGGCACATTAGTGCTCTCAATTGAAAGAATCGGAGAGCAAGACATATGCACAAGAAGCAGAGAAGGGTTTCTGCCTTGGATCAAATGCCCCTTGTCTAGCACACAGGCTGTGGCAGCTTATAAGAGTCATCGGAATGAGGCTGAGTGTAGGTAGTCAGGTATGACCAGCCTTGTCACTTCTGGGAGAGATGAGACTGGCCAGTGATACCTGGATGGAGCATATGACTAGGGGACCAAGGCCAGGCTGTGATGGGGATGGGTGAAGAGAAAGTGGTCAGATGCTCTGTGGTCTTCAGGTAGCTCCTTTCCAGCTCAGTGCTCATCAGAATGGGCCCCCCAACCAACCACTGAAGACCATGGGTAGACAGGAAGCCGCTGCCTTTTCCCCAGATGCCCCAGCATAGCTGTAGGTGGATGAGTCAGAGCATGTGGGTTAAGGTCTCCCTCCACATTGCTTCTCCTTACCTTCTGTTCAAAGCTGTCCGGGGTCAGGAAGAAGCTGTGCAGGGGCACAAAGTAGCCCTCCAGGAGCCCCATGAGTAGCACCAGGTACACCCCATCTGCAAACTGGAGAAAGAGAGCCAGGTGAAGGCACTGGGTCCTTGAGTCCCCAGGCAAGCCCCATCCAGAGGGCTCGTCAGCTTCTATGTCAACATGTCTGGCCTGTTCCATATCTGGCTGGTCCAACACTGGAGACAGCATCCATGGTCCTGATCTCAGTTGATCCAGCATTTATTTATTTTTAAATATTTTTATAATAAGGATTTCTTTTTCTAAATATATATTTTTAAATCTTTTTAACATATATATATATATATTTATTGACTTCAGAGAGGAAGGGAGAGATAGAAACATCAATGATGAGAGAAAATCATTGATTGGCTGCCTCCTGCATGCCCCACATTGGGATCAAACCTGCAACCCAAAAAAAACAAAAACAAAACAAACAAACAAAAAAAACCCCTGCAACCCAGGCATATGCCCTTACCAGGAATTGAACTGTGACCTCCTGGGTTCATAGGTTGATGCACAACCACTGAGCCACACCAGCCAGGCATGATCCAGCACTTATTGAGCACTGGTCATGTTCTAAGCCAGGGGTCCTCAAACTATGGCCCTCGGGCCACATGTGGCCCGCCGAAAACATTTATCCGGCCCACCGGGTGTTTTTGCCACCACTGCCTGTCCTGCTTAGCAGCCGACTCGTCCCGGGCCCGCAGTGTGCATGTGTGAAATGTCTAAGGGACAGTGAACTGGCCCCCTGTTTAAAAAGTTTGAGGACCTCTATTTTAATCCCTGATCCGGCACATGGACCACAGTTATGGGCCAGGTGTGGCCCCTTCCCTAGAGGAGCTCACAGCCCAATAGGGAGACTGATGTGGAGAAAACGCAGCAGCTGCTCTGATGAAGAGAAGCAGGTTGGCTTGTGTGACAGAGTCACTCTCTCCCACTGAAGGCAACAGGGAAGGCTTCTAGAGGAGGCGCTGCCTGAATGGAGACTGGAGGGATGAGCAGGAATTAGCTAGGGTGGGGCAGAAGGAGGAGGACAAGGGGATGTCCAAGGCCAATGGCATGAGGCTACGAGGGTGAAGTACTTTGTGAACAAAGAACTCTAGTGTCATACAGGCCTCGTCATTCTCCTTTCTCACTGTATCATTGCTTAAGAGGCAGCACCGTGTGGCTATTACGAAGTTGGGCTCTGAAGCTAGGCCTCCAGCTCTACCACTCACTGGCTGTGTGATTTGAGCAAGTTACATAACTTCTCTGTGCCTCATTTTTCTCATTGGTAAAATGGGGATGACCGAAGTGTAGTTACTACTTAATAGGGTTATCATGAGGACTAAACCAGTTAATAGGTATAAAGTGCCTAGAGTACTGCTTGATGTGTAGGCAAAACTTAATAAATATTTAACTATAGCAGGTCCTTGAATAACATCATTACATTATAAGGTTGATGAGAAAAAAAATTGACTTTCAGCTGTGGCCACTGTCTGTGTGAAGTTGGCATGCTCTCCCCATGTCTGCATGGTTTCTTCCAGGTACTCGGGTTTCCTCCCACATCCCAGAGATGTGCACGTCAGATGAATTGGCGTGTCTACAGTGTCCCAGTCTGCGTGAGTGTGGGTGGAGGGCGTCTTGTCCAGGGCTGGGTCCTGCTTTGTGCCCTGAGCTGCAGGGATAGGCTCTAGCCACCTGTGACCCTGAACTGGAGCAAGCAGATTAGAAAAGAATTCTTACTTATTTTTATTAAGATTTCTTAAATGTATGCAGAACTCACATTTATTTCAATGTTTAATATTAGAAAAGTTGGGGAGGGGGTCTTTATTTAGAACTTTGGTGACATTTTTGTGACCAAAAATACGCTGTAGGAACTTGGTTATATCAACTAGCCTATGGGAAAATTGGTTTAGTTATATGTCATTTTGCTTTGAGTCACGATTTCTAAGACCCTATTGATGATGTGAAGTGAAGATGTACTGTATTGCTTACTATCTGGGAAAATAACAAAGCAATCAGGACACAACTTACTGGCAAAGTACAACTGTGTGCTGAGGGCCGGGACAAGAGGCTTAGAGCCCTACCTTCCCATCTAGGACAGTAGAGTCTGGACGGGCTGGGAACCTGGTCTGAGGGACCATCGATTCCTAGGCTAAGCAGAGGGATTCAGGTATTCTGCTCAAGGAAGGGCAAGGTGAGTGTGTGCTGGGCACTGGGGCAGGCTTGTGGAGGAGTGGAGGCCTGTGGGATGAAGGAAATGTGGAAGGAGGAGGTGTTCTAGGTATGGAGAGGGGCCTGAGCAAAGGTAGAGAGGTCGGGTGAGTATCTGGTATCCTAGAACCTTTCAAAGGAAGTGGGGCCACCAAAGGTTCGTGGGCATAAACAACAGTTGCTAGAGTTCACAAGAGGCCAAAGTTCTTGGAATCATCTTAGGAAACTTAAAAAAAAAAAAAAGTAGACTGAATTGCCTGGAATGTGAGCTGGGCCCGAGTCAGAGATCTGCCAGGTGGCTGGCTGGTGGGCCTGTGCTTCGCCTTTGTTATGGGCATACGACCCTGCATGAACTTGGCCGAGGTGCAGCTTCCTGCCTGCTTCCATCCATCAGGTGGGTAGGGCCTGAGCATGACTCAATCCTAGGTCACTCCAGAGGTGGACAATGCAAGAGCAGACCCAGCATCCATGTTAAAATCAAGGCCTGCCCATGGAAATAGTTAACTGGGCCTCATTCTGGCTATGGCTGGAATGGGCTGAGAATAAAAAATTCCAATCTATCAACTCAGGGGAGGACCTTGGGTTAGGGTCGGGGTTACTCACAGCTCTGAGCGCCACTGACATAGACAGCTCCCACCCTGACTGCTCTTTCTGATGACTCGATGGTAAACCCGCAGACAAACACCAAACACACTCACCAGAGACTCCCTTTCATAGCACAACCTGTTCATGCAAACTTAGGGGAAATCCCAGAGCTCATTCTAGCTCATTCGAGGAAATATCACTTTTCCAGCGTGTTCCCTAACTCCCCAAAGAGAATGTAAACTCGTTCCACAGAGTCCAGACACACTCAGTCAGTACTCAGGCACAGACCTGGAATTGCTTTTATTTATTATGTATTTATTTTAAAAATATTTTTATTGATTTCAGAGAGGAAGGGAGAAGGGGAGAGAGAGAAACATCAATGATGAGAGAGAATCATTGATTGGCTGTCTCCTGCATGCCCAAGCCCGCAACCCAGGCATGTGCCCTGACCCCCTGGTTCATAGGTTGATGCTCAACCACTGAGCCACACTGGCTGGGCCAGGAATTGCTTTTAGAAACAACAAGAGATGTCCATGTGCTCAAAAGAAAACCTCATTTTAGAAATTCATCACAAATGAAAGAAGGTCGGGAAACAAAATACATTACACAGCCTTAAAGTATCTCCCACTAAAGATTAGTTATTACTTATAAAGGAGGGAGAGGACCTTAGCAGTAGGGAGGTCTGGTGGACACCAGCTTACCCCTGTGATCAAAGTTACTGTCACCAGTCACGGACTGCTGGACAAAAGTGGCTGAGAAGACACCATTACTCAGGTGGTATTGTTACTGAAAATGCATAACCTGAATCTAATTGTAAGGAAGGACATTTAGAGACATTCTATGAACCAAATAGCCTGCACTCTTCAAAAATGACGTCATGTAAAGAAAGGCTGAGGATCTGTTCTATAACAAGACACTAAAGAAACATGACAACTAAATACTGCATGTGAGAATATTAGGGAGACTGGAAAAATTGGAATATAGAGTGTTTCTTTGAACCATGTGATTGTCGAAAGTAGTCAAATATCAGCAATTGCATATGGTTTAACCTAAACGATGTATTCTACCAATGTTAATTACCAGAATTTGATCAGTGGATGTGGTTATCTAAGAGGATGTACTTGTTATTAAGAGATGTATGCTGAAGTGCTTAGGTGGAGAGAGAGAAAAAAGAAACCCCAAATGTGGTCAGATATTAATAGTTGGTGTATGTAGGTGAAGAGTGTTTAGATATTCATGATAATATTCTTGCAATTTTTCAAAGTAAATTCAGATAAAGTCCAAACAGGAATAGAATCCCCTCCCTCCTGGGAAAGCTTGAGGGTCGTTGTGGAAAGCCCTCCTGGCCGTGCAGGGATGGGGCACTTGGAATGGTAGCTGTTGAGCAGGGCCTGGCCCCCCACGCTCCCTTCAGGGCTGTCACCCACCTGGGTTTCCAGTTCTGTGACCTCCAGGTTCAGTTTATTCAGGTGCTTGTTCACAAAAGTGATGAGAGTCTAAAAAAAGAAGCACAGGCAGCTTTGAGATGGAGACTCTCACCAGTGCCAGGCCCTCGGGGCCACCTCAGTGACTCCACCGTGAGGACAAGGACCAGGGTGACCACATGTGATGAGGCCCTGCTGAGAGCACTGGGCCTGGGATCCCTGTACCGAGCTGAGTGAGGATCAGTGAGCAGCCTGGGAGGCTTTTCTGCAAAGCCTCTGGAGTTCATAGGAAAGAAGGCTCCCAAAGATTTACGGTCCTGGACACTGTGATTCAAACTGTGAGAGGAGCTAGGAGTCCTGAGAGTGAGAGGTGGAGAGTCTGACCCCAGGGTCAGGAGGCCAGAGAAGAAATGACCCCACTGGGTCCCTCCTTCCAGTCCCTTTCTAGGTGCAGGTGCTTGTGCCTGTGTGGAGGCAGGGACGGCTGGAGGTTGAGTAAGGGTGGGAACAAAGGGTGCTCATAGTAGTCTCAGAACCCCCTGAGAGACGCTATCATCCTGATGGGAGAAGAAAGGGACTGGATGAGTTCTCCAGTGAGAACAAGACAGGAAAAATGGACATCAAGCAGGAAAGCCCATGTTTGCAGAGACTTGGCGATAAGACCAGTTTTAGGAAGCTTGCGAGCTACAGGGATGATGTTTCCTAAAATGTTTTGCTACCCCCTCCCCCATCTTTCCTGCTTCCCTCCCAGGCACCTTTCCCACCTTTTTCACCACGTTGAGCTTATCGGGTGCATGGTCGAACAAGGTGTCGAAGGCATCACGTTCTGAAAAAGAGGGAAATGTCGATGAAGGACACAGCTGATTCCTGGTGGGAAGCCCACCCCAGGTCCTGGCCACATGGTCAGGTACAGATGGAAACTTTCCGGGGTCTGAGGCTGCGCGGGGAACTCTAGAAGCTGGGTTTAGGGCAGAGATTTGGGTTATGCTCACCTAAGGAGCTGTGTGTGTGTCCACCCTCTGTGTCAAACCTCTTTTGGGCCGGGACTGAGGGGCTCTGTTAGGTACTTTAACTGGGGACTTGTTATTTCTCTTCAGTCTCCGTGTTCATTACATTATGATTTAGTCATGGCTCCAAAGTGTTTCGGAAGCTTTTATATCAAATATCAAATCACTTCACCGCCTAGCGATCAAAACCAGGACACCCGGACAACCATCCTGGCAGCACGCGTGCATCAATACACAGGTTGGGAACCAGAGCCCCCGGACAGGATGCGAGCTCCTCCTCTTGAGTGACCTAGTCACTTCGGTGCTTTGTGCCTCAGTTTCCTCTTCTAAAATGCCATCTGAGAAATGAACCTCCCAGGTGTGTTATGAGATGAAAGATGGGAAAGTATGTGCAAGTGCTCAGTAGACTGATATGTCTACTGATCTGAGTTGTTTTAGCATTACTGGAATCGTTCAAAATATGCACAGCAAATACAGGATCATAGGAAGTAGCAAAGCCACGCCCCCTGCAGGTCTCTCCTAGCTGCCCCCCCGCCCCCCCGCCTCCCCACATTCTCTGAACTGGGAAGTGAAATAATGGAGGGAAACCTGGGGGGAGGCAGGTTGGTGGTCTTGGGTCTGTATCTCCCTACTCTTGCACCGATGGGCAAATCCGAGACTTCCAGGAAGGTGATTGTGACCTCTGACATTCACAGATTTGTGAACAAGCCCAAAGTTGTGGGAGATGGGAGAGACAGGAGCTATGAAAAGGAAAGAGAAAGAAGCAGCTTCCAGAAGGGCTGGGCAGAGAGGAGACAGTCCAAGTGTGTAAATACACCTCCTTTCTTTACTCTCACCATACGCTTAGAGCAAGACTGCCCAGGACCCATCCAGAAGCCCAGCAATGTCAGTGGTCTGGTTACTTTCGAAAGGACTATGCAACTGTGGTTAGTTTTCCTCTTCCCACCAGTAAGCAGACCCTCCCTACCACGCAGCTCTGTCACCAGGCTGGTGCAGACACTGCAGGACGCAAGCTGAGTGCCTATGGTTCCCAGCTGCTGCAGAATTAACTAGACCCCCGTGGAAGCCACCAGCACCAATGCACAATCTTACGCAACTCACCATGCCTTCCGGAGAGAGCCCTGTAGGAAAAGGAGAAAGAAAACAGTGTGAATCTTCTCTCCTCGCCCTTGATTGAAAAGCCCCAAAGCTCTCTTGGCATTCTACACTTAGTAAGTTCCCTGCCCAGGGTGCTGTGGGCATTAGCCTGGGGAGGTCAAGTTCTTCTCTTTCCTATACATCCTGTGATACCCATCAAGCTGCACCTCGCCTTGCTCCAGGATAGGTTTTTCTCAAAGAGGGCAGGAACTGGAACTGGACTTTTAGCAGTGAAGCAGCAGAGAACTAAGAACACAAGCATTAAAGACGGACTACTTAGGTTTAAATCCAACAGAGCCATTTGTGTGCTGTGTGACCTTGAGCAAGCTACCGAACCTCTCTGGGCACCAGGTCTCTTATCTCTAAAATGAGGATAGCATGTTGTGAGCATTACATAATTTAATAAGTGGAAAGATTTTAGCACAATTCCTGGTATATAGGTAAATGCTCAATATATTTTTTTCTTAATACATTAGTGGGTCTCATCAGTTTATTCCAACTGTGCTTCTATCACCCATTACATGATGACTTGCGGGTAATGCACTGGAAAGAACAATGAACTTGGAGTTAACTGCTGGACGTACCAGTGATAATCTCCTTCTCCACCTTTGGCTGTGGGGTTTTAGGAGGTGTAATCATTGCTTCACGTGTGTATTATGAACATCGACAGATACAAAAATGCTTCAGAGACTAGAGTGTATCATCAACTGATTAGGAGTTTGCATCCTTGTTTGTCTATGTGGCAAGATGGCAGAAAGGGGCCATAGAAAGCACAGGGGCAGCTGAGAGATTGCTCTGAAAACTGAAGCTTCATGTTCCCTGATTTGGGAGCTTCTCACAGGATCTTCTCAGACACATTTTCCTCTTTTCCACAGACAAGCAGAGGTTAGGGGAGGTGGGGGCGGGACGGTGAGGAATTCTCCTCCCGGCAGGCCTGTCAGGGCAGCTTTCAGCCTGCCCCTCACAGAATCAAGGCCAAGAATCAGTGTGCCTTGTACATCAGCTGCCCCCTCGGCTGCCAGGATTGGACCCTGGAGTGGCGCGGAGGCAGGCCATCAACTGGCCATCTGGGGAAGGGCCTCCCCACATCTCTGCCCTATCCTGGGCCCCCATGCATAGTGTGGTCCACAGCACTCTGGACCTCCGTCAGCCACAATGGGGGAGGGGAAGTGAGTTTCCTAGAGATTGGGCAAGGCTTGGATGGTGTGGGTCAACTGTGATGGGGAAAAGCCAGAAAAGTCAGCAATGAAGGACATGGGAAAAGGGAAGGCCGAGCTCTTCCCACATTAAATCCTCACACTCTGTGGTTAGCAAAATGCTCCCCACTTCAGAGATGAAGACACTGAGGTCAGAGAGGTTAAGAGACTAACAGGTGAGTAAAGTGGCAGAGTCTGGATTTGAACTCAAGTGAGGTTGGATTAGAGGTCTCTGCTCTTTTCACTTCGTTCTTCTTGTTCAAGGGAGGACAGAGGAGAGATGGAGCCAGGGGATGCATAAAACGAACTTTGCCCAGCCTCGCATGTGGCCAGGGCTCAGGCCTGCCCAGGGATCTCAAACCCACACACGGTCCTGCTCTTTTTGCTTAAGACCAAACTTGTCTTCCCCACAGCAAACCTCTTACATGTTTTGATATTCCAATTTCTTAAAGTAAGTGAAAACAACAAAAACACCCCTCTAAGGCAGAGAGGGGCTTTCTGGGTCATGGCATGTGACCAAATCAATCAGATTCAGAAAAGGAAGAAAAACGTCCTTTTGAAGGCTAACAATTTAAATTCAAGTCCATGTTTATGGCATGACGATTTCATGCTGGTTGGCTTTTGGGGGCACACTTTTTTCCCGGAGTGCCACAAAATTAGAATTTTTCAATCACTGCTAATTCTCTCTCCCCACTTCCCCACCCAAGTTTGTACCTTAAGCATTGAGAGGCATGTTTTGAATGCATGGAAAAGGCTAAGCTATAATCATTGGCTGAAGTATAATCCCTCTTGCAATCCCAATAAATGAAAACTAAATATCAGCAAATGGACGAATTTCGGAGAAACATCTGTGTTCCATTACAGAATCGCTGGCAACAATGGTGTTGACATACTCTGTGTTACCAGTTATTTCCTCTTGGATTTGCCGAGACTGGAGGATTCCTTCTCGTTTCTGAAACGGGGGTGGGGAGAAGGGTTGGGAGGAGGAGAGAAAAATATGCTTTAGAAAAATACAAAATACTGATTAGCATTCCTGATACTGAGAACGTTACTGGTGTTTAAGAAAGTGAGTCTGGAGTTGAGAGGCTTCCAGAAGTGAAACAAGGCCCCTGGCTTCCCGGTCCTGGACCGTACCATTCGTACTTCAGTGCAGTTCGTGTTTAGTCCAAACAAGTAGGCTGTTTCTTGGATGGTGAATCTTTTCTTTCTTTATTGGAAGACATTCTGTTGGAAGCAAACTGTTTGCCTCCTGGAGTAATCCACAGTAAACCAAATGGAAATGAAGGCCAGGGTGTGTCTGCCCTCCAGCTGGGGCCACAGAGGAAAGCCGAGAAACACATTCAGCTGGGGGGCTGGGGTGGAGGAACCCAGGCCAGCTTGGAGAATTCAAATAGAGGGAGAGTTTGTTTGTTTTTCCTTCTTTTTAATGGATAAATACAGGAGCTTTCAAATAACCAGCACAGTCCTCAGGTAATTAGCTTACTCTCTGAGCAAAGGTTAAGTAATTTGGAGGCCCACCCAGCCCATCCATCCGTCCACCTATCCATCCATCCACCCACCTACCTACCTATCCATCTATCTGACATCTATTCCACCCACTCCCATCACTTCATCCTCCCTTCTTTGTTTCATTGATCAGTGCCTTCTAAGTACAATCCCCTAATTAGTACCTTCTATGGACAAGCCCTTGAGTTGGACTTGGAGCAAATACCTGAGGAACTTAAAGAGTAAAATGTCATAGATGAAGCAGGTATGTAAGAATGGTTTTCCCCAAACAGGGTTTTTGCCTGATGACCCAGGTCAGTTATTGGTAGGATCCCTTTTGCTCTCAAAAGTGTCTTGGGTAATAAATCACATGGTCACCCTATGCAGAGAGAAAGTGCTGAATGCAGGACAAAGGCAGGCACGTTCAGCGGGGGATGGTCAGGGAAACCGTCCAAGGGGAGGGGTTCTTGACCTGGCACTCAAAGGGCACAGAGGAGAGGTCATCCCCCCAGGAGGAATGGCCTAAGCCAGTGGTCGGCAAACTGCGGCTCTCGAGCCACATGCGGCTCTTTGGTCCCTTGAGTGTGGCTCTTCCACAAAATACCAACTTCTGCGCATGGGCCACGAAGTTTCAATCGCACTGTACGTGCGCGCCCGCACATGGTATTTTGTGCGGGGAGATTCATTGCATAGTCAGAGGCCCTGGGAGGGTGGTCTGGGTGTGGAAATCAGTTGTCACAGCAAATTCATCTATGTGGAAGAGCCACACTCAAGGGGCCAAAGAGCCGCATGTAGCTCGCGAGCCGCAGTTTGCCGACCACTGGCCTAAGCAAACAGGCAGAGTCAGAGCACAGTGCATTGAGGGGAGGTTTGCAGGGAGGGTGCCATGAGTCAATGGGGAGCCAAGTGAGTGCTGGTTTAGAATTTAATCCTCGCTGGGTGGGCACGGGAGCTAATGAAGCAGTGCTCGGATGCAGGAGGACCTTCAGGTGGGCATGAGCAGGGAGATTCATTGCATTAGGTTCCTGCATAGTCAGAGGCCCTGGGAGGGTGGTCTGGGCGTGGAAATCAGTTGTCACAGCAAATTCATCTTCCTCAAAGGCTGAGGTGAGTGTCCACAAGGACCTTCTGGCACTGGTGTCTATTGAAACCTGCCTTCTTGACCCTCCTGCCAAAACTTCCAGAACCTTCTCTTCACATTCTCAATAGCCACAGAATCTAGGGTCCTTGCAAAAGACTCTGACAGAAGGAAAGCTAAAGCTGAGTAAAGAGTATATCTGAAAGAGATGAAGAGGAATGGACTAGCAAAGCAAAAGAGGAAGTAAACATCACTGAAAGGAGACCCGATGAGGATAAATCAGAACTTTTCCAAATACACCTTTAACATAGGTAACATTTTCACGGGGGGCCGATGGAATCTGTGTCCTTGTCTTGTGAGGCCATTCACAGATGTAAAACCTCAGCCACACATCACGCAGAATTAAATGCCTTTGTACACAATGGAAAAGAAATCTGGGTTAAATGACCCCTCACACTGCGTCCTGATTCACCTCGATCCACTGTCTGTTCCCCAAAGAGCTCTCTGTCGTTCAGTGACTCACAGCCAATTCCGAGTCCTGCTTCTGTGCCTGTTTAGCTTGATAAAGCAAAACACCCCATAAAACCTGACGTGCATTGATGCCATTTTATGTAACGTGTCCTCTTTTCTCCCTCATGCTAACAAGGCTGCCTACAGGACAAATTAAACCAACAACAGCCTTCAGATGGCCCATAATTGAGCTCAAAATAAGGCATGAGGCATGGGCTTGCCGTGACCACTGTTTCAAAATAGAAGCCCCCCTTCTCCTGCTCAGATCTTGAATCATAGTTTTAAAAAAAATGTAATGAAACGGATTCACACATTATTGACGGGTAAAAATAACATAATAGAGAGATGGCCTGGATTCACTAGGAAGATGCTTGGATCAGGAAGCTCTGGGCTGGCCACGTACCCACAGCAGACAGAAAATGCTCAGCACCATGCTTGACACAGTTGAGTGCTCAATAAATGAGGCCAATTAGTCCCTTTCAGTCACCTGCACTTAATGTCTGCACCACACACGTTCGCATTGGCTGTGGGCCCCTGATAGCCCTCTCTGCTGTTTATCTCTGGGCGGGGCCAAGGCGTCATAGTCCTATTATACCCCCTTGATGTGTAGCAAGTTCAGTACCCAGAAGGTGTAAAAGAAATACTTTTTCATTAGGGCACAACTGAGCACCCCCAAGTCCTCTTCCATTCACATCTGATCCCTGAAAGCTCAGCTCAAAGACCTTTTGTCCTGGAAACTGGCCTGGCCTGGCGCGGCAAAGCTCACCAGCCCTCCAGGCCCGTCCTCACCACTGGACGCAGAACTGCCATATCATTCTCTATTCCAGATCCCTGGATACTCTGGGAGCTGCTTATAAGGGGAGTCTTCCCTTGCAGCATGTTTATTTGGAAAAGAACAGAAACAAGCAAACCAAATGACCTTTTGCTAAATGGCATAAAGTTGGAAAATAAAATTGAATTTGAGTATCTAATGGGGTTAGGGGTAGAATGAGATAGTCACAGGGAGAGTGCACACCCTCATTGTGGAAATTACACAGCCATGTGAATGGAAATTCCATCCAACGATCTGGAAAAGATGATTTGAGAGCCCAGCTGTGCTGCTCGGGGCGGGTGAAAAGGGGCAGTGTCCTCAATCCAGGCCCGCCAGTCGGGTCTCTCAAACACACGCATACACATGCACACGTGCCCTCACGTCTGTCTCCTCCCCATACCTGCGCACCACTGTTTACCCAAAAGATGATTCTCTATGGCTTACAGGGTGTGCATGCACGCACACACACACACACGCACACACATCTCTTTCCTCCTTATCCTTTTAGACACATCTCACATACATACCATACACCCGCAAATATACATTACACAGACACCCGCTCACACACACACACGCACACACATACACATACACACACACACCTCTTTCCTCCTTATCCTTTTAGACACACCTCACAAACATACACACCATACACCCTCAAATATACATTACACAGACACCCTCCTGACAAAAACACGCAAACCCCAGGTACTTGCCCACCTAAGGCATTCCATATACAAGCACACACTCTCCCACCCTTTGCACCCATGGTATCTGCCTTACCTGGACCACAACCACTTGGATGGAAACATGGTCTGGCAGTCGGATTGGGGCCCTGAAATACTGGGACAGAGCAACCAGCAGGTGCAGGATGGCTACCAGGCTCTTGGCATGAACAGCTGAAATAAAAGATGATGTAAATAATTAGAGAATCTTCTTCTAGGTTCTAGGCAGATAGAAGCAGATATTCGAAATGTATCACATCCACTGCCCCTGTAATCCCACCCCTGAGGATCAGGGGACACCCTTGGTCATCGCAGGCCTCACCCTGGGCCGCCTCATTCTTGGCCAGGTCCCAAGGCGCTAGCTTCTTAGATCATGCCATTGCTGGATTTCCAAGGCCGTGCCCTCTGCTTTGATCTAAGGCTCCCACAGAGACCCTGACAGTGGCTGAATTCTGAGTTCAGATCAGCTCTCCACCATTTCCATGTCTTTGTTCACTCTATTTTAACAACCATGTGTGTGTCTGCTTTGCACCCTCCTTCCCTTCCCACTTGACTGTGAGCCCTTTGGATGATCACCACTACCCTTGTCCTAAGGCTCTACCCAAAGCAGGCTCTCAATACATGGACACTGAGTCAGGAACACTGGACCCCTCCCCCTTTGATGAGGGCTCTAGATCCCTGGAGGAAAGCGTGACAGATATCGAAAGGGCTTTGTTGCTCTCTTGAGTGTCAGGTATGGTCAGTGTAGGCAGTGCCCCTTGGGGAATAGCTGGGAGGAAGTGTTCAGGACCAGCTGGCTTCTGTAGCTACAGAGCGATGTGCTGGATGCTAAGCCATTTATATTAGAGAAATCTGGGCAACTATTGGGTTATAGTTTTCTCAGTAGATCTGAGGAGAAAAGGACAGTGATGTAATGGGGTGCACACACGGTTGGGCAGACTGGAGCTTGAGTTCTGACTTGACAGCTCTACCATTTATTTACTGCCGACAAGACCTCTGGGAGGCCACTCAAGGACTCGGAGCCTCAATCTGCTCATCTTCACAATGGGGATAGCTGTGCCTGTGCAGAAATATCGGTGTAAAGCATTTCAAGAGATAATGTAAGCAAAGCTCCTAGCCCGTAGCAGATGCCCAGGAATGGTTGATATTTTTTATTATAATTTGAGAAAGTGCCTGGCATCTAGGCAATTAAGTCACTTTCTCTCCTTTGTTTCTTATGGAAGGGAAGATCCACCAGATACTTTACCTGTCTTCACAGTCCTACCAGCCTCACGGTTCTTCATTACAGGGGTCATGTAAGGCAAGAACAGAAAAATGCCCATTTTGCGTACTTAGCATGACCTGGGCCCAGCGTTAGGGTGTCCTTCTGTCTGGGCTAGGATTGATGAGTCTGCTCTACAGAAGCCTTGAGAAATCACCAAAAAAAGGAAGTGATTCAGACATTCCTTGGGAACTCATTAGAGCTTCTTGTTATCACAAGGCTTTCCATGGACAGCGAACAGCAGCTCAACACCACCATCAAGCAGCAAACAGCTAAGATCTGCTTCTAACTCCGCCTTCCAGAAGTTTTCAGTTCTGAGCTTCTGAGCATTGTTGAAAGTGTCACCCGTAGTAACAGCCTCAAAGAAGGCTCCTGATGTGGTGTGCTCACTCACGTGATCAGAACCGCCACACCCTGTCTAGTCACCCAGGGTTGTAGGACATTTGCTACCTTTCTCCTTTTTAATCACAAAACACAATTCTAGAAAAGCTATAGCCCAAAAGCTTGTTCTTGCACACTGGTGACAGTGTATGTCATCATGACTGTCTGGTGAGCAACACAGAGAGCAATGTCATGAGCACCATGCCGATGCCAGACCCTTTCAATGAATGCTCTGTCTGGGGAATTTTTTTTTTCCAAAAGAAATAATTATACAGTTTCTCTCTCACACACACACTACATGTACAAAGATGTTCATTATTGTGTAATATATCTAGAAAACACTGTCCACTAGCAAAAGGTACATTTAGACCAGTGGTTTGCAATTTTATTATTATTCTTAAGCAGAGAAACCCTTTGTTCTAAAAGCCATTAGACAAAACAGATGAAAAAAGGACAGCTGCTCTGGTCCCTGAGTCCTAATTGCAGCCCCCCCCACCCCCCCACAGGTGCTTCTCCTCACCCCCTTTATCCTGCCTGGAAAGATGACACAATGTCCTCAAAGTACCAGGAAAGATAACGGGAGGGACGGAGCTTCCCCCAGGGCTGTGCCTGCCACATTCCTCACGGAAGAAACCAGGGCTGCTTGTAAACAGGCCCAGCAGTTCTTGAAGCCCCGAGGCATCCTAGGGAGCTAGCCATGGAAATAATTATTCCCTCCCACCTAGCCATTTATCTCCCTTCTGGGAATCTATGACGGGACTAATTCAAGAAAAGCAAAAAGAGACACAACCTAAGACATTCAGCAATAGGCTGCCAAACGTCCTGAAAGGATCAACGCCAAAGGGTTCAGGTTACGGGGGATGTCTACCCCATGAAACAGAGCAGCTATCAGAAACGATAACTCTGTAGACCACATGGGAATACAGAAAATATGTATGACTTACTACTAAGTGAAAATAACAAAACACATGATGCACCTGACTTCATCAAGTAAAAATACGCGTTGATGTGGAGAGTAGGGGGCGAAGATGAAAATAGCCAGACGAGAGTGGCAGTGTGAGCGATTATTTTACTCATGCACATTTCCCTATGAGAAATGACAGTGAACATGATGGTGGTCCTCGTGTGGCTTTAAAAAATCCCCTTCTTCTATCCGAGCCTTTCCCCAGGTGGGTTCCCTCGTAAGTGAGAAAGTGTTTTATTTGGAAGGGTACGTGGAGATGGTCCGTATTCAAAGGAGTGGGAAATAGGATTAAAAAAAAACCCCAAAAAACTAAGCAGGGGTCTTGATGAGAGGACTTTGATGCTTATTACTTTATGCTTCAATGCTTATGACTGTTGTGGATTTCCAAAATGCAGGTACCTTTCTCAAACCAGTGATCAAGCTTCCTTTTTCCTCCCTTCCTTCCCCACTGAACACTATTAGCACGCCCGGGACACAGCACAGACAGCATCTAGGGCCCAGAGCCACGGCCTCCCCCTCCACCCTCCCATGTCTCCCTGGCAGAGGATGCCCTGTTCCCTGTTCTGTGCGAGGCGGCTTTTCACACTGTGCGAGCAAAGGTGTAATTATGCTGAAGGAGGTACTTGGTGTCTCGTCTCCAATGTCAGATGTTAGAAACCTGCTGAAGAGATTCTCACTGGCAGTTACTGGGTCTCTACGCTGAGAGGTGAAGATTCCTTTTTCTTTGCTAAGTTTGAAAGGTGTTTTTATGGGGGTGGGGGGGTGAGGATGTGTCCATTTTAGGTTTTATAATTGGGTTCACTAAAATATAGTATTGAACCCTTTAATACTTAAAACAAAGGCAAAGAACACAATCTAAATCATGTTATCAATCTAAATGCACACTTTTATCTATTGCAAGCAACTAAACAACTCTGGACTCCCCACAGGAAATAACGTCACTATGGAGTCACCGATTTGCTGATTGAATGTTGGTTCTGATAAAGACTCATTAAGTCCATATTAGACATCTAGGCCCTTGAGGCAGCAAAAGAATGAATGGTTCATGCTCTCTGAGATCCATGACCTATCTAGCTGTGAAACCTGAACGGAAAAATCCTGTTCCAGTGCCTACAATGTCAGCCATATCTTTTCTTCTGGAAAATGAGTGATGGAGAGGAAGGCTGTGGGTATTGTTCTAGAGCCATGCCCTTACCCACCCCCACCCCGGCTTCTCAGCTGCCTGCACTTAAGGATCTCTGCTTCCTGAAGCCCCTAGAAGAGCGTTCTCAGAAGGTCGTACTGGGACACGGAAGTAGCTCAATGAACACAAGTGTCCTTCCTCTCCCCATCTTACATGAGCGCCTACAGAAAAGGCACCCTGGATTTTGACATCACTTGTCCCAGAGAGTCCTCTGTGTGGGAGATGTGTCCCTCCTCAGTAAGATGAATGGGCCTGCACCCACACAGGGCTGGCCAGCTTCCTGGCTGGCTTCTGGGGGAAACCTCACGGTACAGACCACAGGCATCGTTCACCAGAGCCTTTTCTCTTGGTAACACTCACAGTCCACATTCCACTTGATGCTTCTGGGAGGAAGTTTCAAGGTTTCGTTGATCTTCTCCAGGACAGTCTGAAGCTTTTGCTTCTGCGCAATCTCTGACTGGGTGACCTCGGCCACGTTCAGCTTCTCACTCTCCAGTTTCTCTGGGGCGACACAGGAAAAGAGAACAGCTGTGATCTTTGGCCACAGACAACCTCAACTCATATGCATGCCCTCACACATTCACTCGCTCGCTCAACATACACATGCATACCTCGTTTTATTGCACTTTGCTTTATTGCTCTTCAGAGATGTTGTGTTTTTTACAAATTGAAGGCCAGCCCCAGCAAAAAGATGATGACTCATTTTATTGCAGGGATCTGGAACCAAACCCACAGGATCCCTGAGGTATGCCTGTAGATGAGGGACACTGCTCTCCCCTCCTCGTTTGACAGTGGCTCTGGTGGGGCCAGTAGGTGAAAACCTTGAATCGCCAAATTATAAGAGCCCAGGACCTTAGAAGTGGGGCCTTTAACCCAGTCTGTCATATTTGAGCTCTTTTTTTTCCTATCATTCTGGGGGTTCTCCCTCCTCTTATTCTGCCTTCTCCAAGGACATCTTTGTGCCCTACCTGGAAAGCCTTCTGTGCTTCCCCTGGGCAAGTCCTTATTCAGGACGTTTTGTACATCCCCGTAGTATAATATGTGTCACGCTGAGTCGTAGTTATCTGTTTTAAGTACCTTCTTTCCTTTAAAACCCTCCTGGAAAGTTACTTATTTGGCATGTCCTAGTTCATCAATTCTAAGGCACACTTTTTTTTTTTTTTTAAGATTTTAACAACCCTGAAATCAGGTTGTGTCTTAAAATTGATGGCACTCTACAAGTGCAGTCAGGCAGGTAGAAGATGTGAGTTTTCACGCATCTACATGTGTGCATTTGGTCGTAGCTCTGCTTGTGTGGCCACTCCCATGTCTCAATAAGCCTACAAGAGCGGTTTCAAAACAGAAAATAAAAATTCTAAGTAGTAAGGAAGCTTTGCGTAGGGTTTTTCTTTTTTCTCTTTTTGGGTGGTACTTATATAATGGTATGTTTTAAAATCAATGGTTATTGTATGCAATGATATAACTGCTTAATACTTAAAATAATTAGATTGTGCTTTGCCTTTATTTGTCTAAATTATTATTCTTGTCTATTAGAAAGAACTTTAGACTCTCTAACAAGAAATACATTGTCTGCTATTAGATCCATCCAAGTCGCCCTCCACACCTCATTCAGGATTAATAGAATCTGACACTCTGAAACGTCTTTAAAGTATCTTTCCCCCTCATTTTTAGAGACTGTCATACAAAGTAATTAAACTTTACCATACATCAATAATTCCCCTATTGCTAACTTATTTTATTTTCAAGCAGCTCTAGCTGATCCCAGTCAAATGCCCCTTGGGTAATGATGAGGTTGCCCTGGAGAATTCCTGCAGGTCCAGTGCATTTAATTCTTTTCAGTGTTTTAATAGGATGCTCTCCAGCTATTCTTATCTCTGATAGCCTGAAATATTAACTTCCTCTGTAGTTGCCCGAAGCCATCATTCTTTATTTCTAAAGTTCAGGGATTTAGCAAGTCTGCATGTAAATGTCTTCCTCTTGAATGTTACACCTAGAAAAGGCCCCATGAGCCTTTTCCGTTTTTAGGCTGTGAATTCCTATCTTGGATCCTCTTCTACTGAAGAAACAACAGGTAGTTTTCATCTTCCATTGCCGCTGCAGTGTGGGGAGTTTGGTAGAGGCTGCCTGAAGTGCTAGGTTAAGGAAACCTGTGAAGCTTTATCTTGGCTCAGAGGGAAAGACTGCTGGGATAGAAAGGCCACACTGTCCTGGAAGTGGGCTGGGAGGCCGGAGGGGAGGAGTGGCAGCATGAGAGCCACTGTGTAGCTAGCCTTATTGTATTATACGATTGCCTATGACTTTCCATATTTATAGCCTGCCGGCTTTGGACTTCTTGGAGTGAATAGCTTAGGTCTCTGAGTCTGTTTCCTAGGTCAATCACCCTTCCTTCCTTCCTTCCTTCCTTCCTTCCTTCCTTCCTTCCTTCCTTCCTTCCTTCCTCCCTCC